GTGGGCTCCAGCCCCAGAGAAAAAAAAAAATTAATTTACATATTAGATTATTATTGATAAATAGCCCCAGGTAAATTTCTTGTTAACCCTTGAATTAGCCCAACAAGACAACAATAAAGTCCAAAAAAAAATAAAATTCATTATTGGGTTTTGTTAGAACCGGTACAACTCTCACTTTTCTTCTCTCACAATATAGACGACGAGCTCTCCTAAATTGATAGCCTATGTCAATCTGTAATCTGCAAGTTTCAAAATAGACAACTCTTACTTTTCTTCTCTGACCCTTGTTCCTTCAAGCCTCTGCGAACAGTGAACGGGACTGTTAGAAAAAATGTTTGTCGAAAATACAGAGGAATCCTACGAACTAATATGTATTTTTAGGTCTTACAAATGATCTAAAAATAGAAAATTATAATAGAGCTGAAAATAAATTACAAATTGGAAAAAAATGAAAAGATTTTAGCCGAGGCGAGTAAACTCTTTTCGCAAGACGAATACGCCTCATGTAGTACTGACGGTTCAGACGTATCGTCCCCATCGTCTCGAAATCTGTAGCACACCAGATTTACGAGCTCCGACGAACTATAATGGAGTCGAGAATTGAGCACTTAAAATAGAATAAAGTTATATTTGTTTTACTATTTTAATAACAGATAATTTTATATCTCATTTTTCTCTATTTTTTCCCTCAGAACTTCTTTCTCTATCTCTCGTACTTTTTTCTTTTATGCAGTCTATCCTCCTCTTTCAGCAATTCATATTTATAGAAGGAGATTAGGGAGCAAGATAAGGCCAAGTGGACTAATAGCCATACTCCATATTACATTTTCTTCACAAAAGATAACAAGAGGTATGAGGAGGCGTGGGCTAAAAATTGAAATCAATTGTACAACATGATTGACCAGAAAAGAGGACTCACACTCAATTATTTGCACTCACAATTTTCATAATCCCCTACATGAGTGAAAATTAAATATATGCACGTATGCAGACTCTTGTGTTCAATCCTCACTACACTCTATTGCATCAGAGAAGGTAGCTTGTGGCTTTGAATCTTTCTTTGTAAACATCATCAGATACACTAGTGGCCTAGTGGACATAATGCCTTGAACTATTCCTTCATAGCATACACCAAGACAATGACATTCGCACAATAGAGTCTTAACTCTATTTTGTTCTATTGTTGCGTCCGCTTTGGCCATGGACAACCCTTTGGATTCATAAGAGTTTACACTTAAAGCGACTCTCACTTCACACTTATATAGGTGATCTCCCTATCAAGAGTATCATGTATTACTCTAACTTTACAAGGTTAGAGATTCATTAAAAGTCCAAATGACTTACCATTACCACAATCAACAGGTCATCCTGCACTTGGAGTGCTCTAGGGAATAACTTTGGACATTCTTACATTCCAAGTGCTCAGCTGAATTTCATAGCTTAGTTTTCCCCTTGAACTAAGTTCATGAGATCTCCATTCATCAAAGTAGGGTTACCTGTAACGCCCAGATTTTTATTTACTATTTATGGAGCTCGACTATATTTTCCATAAATATTAAGTTTCGAAATTTGATGCATGTATTATATTTATTTTCATTAAATTAAATAATTAGTATAAAGTCTAAGCCATGGAGAATTTATTCGATTTTAATCATTAAAGTCAGATTTATTTAGCCCAGGTATTGGTTATATTTAAAAAAAAAAAAACCGAGCCTTGGAACGATCGAAATCTTATTAAAGCGGACCGTAGCCAAATAATTAATTTACTCGAGCCCAATCACTTTCGAGCGATTCCAGTTATTTTAGCCGGCCATTTAAGTTAATCGAGCTTATGTTCGATTTTATTCGGCCCATTTGATTTTAGTCTATTTTAAAATCGAACCTATAGTCGATTTTTAAATCCGAGCCCAACTAGTTTAGTAAATTTAACCAACTAATTAATTTAGTCCAAGTCTCGCTACCTTTTAAATTGGCCGAACATTTAATATCTATCCCGATTACATGTTCGGTTTTTCAAGCCCAAGTGTTAGAAATTTAAAAAGCCCAATTTTATGCAAGTAAACCCTAGTTTCCCTACACATATATATACACACCCTTAGTCACTCCTCCCAACAGCAGCATCTGCACAGCTCACTCACCTCCATCTTCCACATCCATTCATCATCATCACCTTCACACCAGAAAATCCGGTGAGCTACAGTGACCGACATCCGGCGAACACCCGAAAAACCTCCGGCGAGCTCAGACCCGTCGAAAACACCGTCGTCGCTCAGATCCTCCCTCTTCCGCAGCACCATTCCGCCGTTCGCGAGCTCAGCTGCCGCCGTTCACAGCTCCGACGAGCTCAACATCACCCGTCGTCGCAACTGCTTTGCGTCGACCCGAACTCCGGCGAGCTCAACTCTGTTCATCTCCTAGCTCTGGTCCTGTTGCAGCTCCTGTGCAGCTCCAGTTCGACCAGCTCCGGTGAGTTTTGCCCGTTTAAGCTCAGCCTTGCTATCCTGAGTTCAGTGCAGCCACGACGAGCCCTTCACCGCGACCCGCCTCCGCCGTCCTTGAGCTCGCGACTCTCCTTCGGTGAGCTCGAACCCGCCGGTGTCCCGCCACCAAGCCCGGCGTCGCAACCACCTTCGTTGTCTGAACAGGTCCAGCAGCCAGGCACCGCCCGTTTCACTCTCTCTCACTCGCCACTCACCGGCAGCAGCTCGAGCCATCTTGTCCTTCACGTGTCCGGTGAACCAGCCTCTAGCCGTCGTTATTTCCGGCCAAATCTCAGCGAACCCGGCCTGAGCAGAGACCCTCACCACCAACCCGTTTGAGCAGCCCCGGGTCCGGTTCACATACCCGAGCTTTTCACTTTCCGACTCTCTTTCAATTTTACGATTCAAGCCGATTTGAGTTAAAATGGCTTCAACCTAACTCCAATGTCTTAGATATGTTCTATGAGATGAGATGAAAATGATAAGTTGAAGTTTTGAGTGAGATTCGATTTATTTTGGATTTTACGAGCTTGAAGTGTCATTTTCCCGATCTCTTAATATAGAAGCGATAAAATGATGATTTAAATTTCATAAATCATAATTTTATGTCTTGAGGCCTAGGTGCAAATTTGAGAATTTTTAGAGCTCGTTTGATAGACGAACAAGTCGTTTGAATATGTTGACCGGTTGAAGCGATTTTGAGTTGACTAGGTTAGGAGTTGCCGTTTGACTTCATATGTTGACCGTGGATTATATGTATATTTAGGAGGCTATATTTTAAATTTCGTAAATTTTGGATGTCGTTTGACTTAGTTTTAAAATCGGGACTTTAGCCGACAAATGTGATATTTTAGAATGTTAGTCCGGTTGGGATTTTAGCTGCAGTTGTTGATTATAAAATTGATATAAATCACCT